CACCCAGGGGGGGGGGGGAGGGGTCAGGGTCACCTGTGAAGAGCTGTAGATGCTTCATGGCATCCAGCCAATCGAATATTTTTAGTTAGTACAAAGGACACTTTAAAGAGAACCTGTTTGAACCTTTCAAAGTCCTGCCTGAGGGCACTCACCACAAGCAGCCTGCAACAGAACCTTTGTTACCTCCTCTGTGCACCTCTTTGAATCTGGTTTCACTTTGCTAGTCCAAAACTTAGCAAAGTCAAGCTCTTAACAAAAAGGGAAACCAAGATCAGAGGGGCACACAAAAGCATCTTTTTCTAGCTAACAAATGTAACAGGCACCCTGCCGTGGCTGCTCTAAGGCAGAACTTTAGTTTTAAAAGTTTAAAATGGCTGACAGATCTGCTTTGCGGGGAACCAATAACCAGTTTTCTGACTCTAGAAGCTTTAACTTAAAGAACAGCTGTAGCTGTAAGTCTCAAAGCTTTGCTAACTTTTGATTGTTAACTTGTATTCTTTCCCTGTCAGAGAAGAGGTGTCAGGCTGCAAGGTCATGCTATCTCCTGCCTGGGCTCAGTGCTGATAAACTTTCCTTACCAATATGTTGCCAGGACTATATACATATGAAAAGATGAGATGCATTAAAAACGAAAGAGTATTTGTTTGATCTTCCTCCTGAGTTTGAGCAGTCGACAGGTAAGCCTCCACAGACTGGCATGTACGCTCCGTCAGGAAGAGAATACAACTAAATAACAGCACACACACCCTACCCTGAGAAATAAGGCAGCACTGCCAGAACAACATAAAAGTGGAGATTGCGAGTCTAACAATCACCTATCATTGATTAATGATCATAAAAAGCTTGTGCCAACATCGTACAACACATAATAAATGTAACCGATAGAGTTTATAATTTGGGTATAATTGCCCAGCGTTTGAAACCTTCTTTAACCCCTTCATGACTGAGGCCCTTTTTTCATTTTTTGCACCCATGTTACATTCCACATTTTAGGCCTGAAAATGACTTAAAACCCCCCAACATTATATATAGGTTCCCAACCCGTGTAAAATCGGGACCAAGATTTGTCTTTGGTCATTAAGTCGCAACCCAAGTCTGCACTGCAATGGAACGCACGACATTAGGGTACCGCGCGTACGATCTGTGGGTAGGAGGTGCGTTTGGGGTACCATTCAAATGAGTGGCCACGCAACACACCTCCCACACCAGAATGCACGGTAGGTGCAATTGTGTGTTACAGTGTGTTAATCGCACGGTACTACGCAATTAACACACTGTACTAGTCTTTTTTCTAGTCTAGTCCACCCAGTCTCCATACCATACGAGAACTGGAGTGGGTCCGCAGCCTGGGGTCTGGTGTGGGCTGCTGTGCTGTGACGGAGCTCCATCCATATGTGCATTGCTGGTACATCTCCCTTGCGTGCCCTGTAGAGGTGCCGGGAGCCAGGATGTGATGTCACTCCGGTCCAGGCACCTCTACAGGACACGTGAGGGAGCTGTAAACAATGGACGTATGGATGGAGCTCCCTCACGGCCATGGACCTATCCCATCCTACCTCAAGCTGACACCCGACACCAGGCAGCATATTTTGAATGGCTGCTTGGCATGAGAACTGACAGTCCTTCGCTATGGGGGAGGCTGAGGAGCCTCTCGCCTAGAAAAGTGGAAGTCACGCGGCGACCCACTGAACACGGGCTTGCGACTCACTTTTAGGTCACGACCCACCAGTTGAGAACCAAGGCTTTAAATAATTTCCTTCCTGCTGTAATGAGAACAAAACTCCTCTCTGGATTGCCGGTCATCTGAAGATTCCTATCTGCCGGACTGTATTTTGTGAAGACAAACCGTTTCGCCCGATACGTCGATAATCTAGGGCTCTGATCGGAGATAAAAGGAGGCGGGTTAGCGCTCCTCCTCTAATAACATAATCCTGAGAACATGCCGGCAGCGGCGGGGCAGCAGGGGGCCGCGTCTTCCTTTTGAATAGTCATTTTCGGCTGTAAAGGCATCTAAAGATCAGAACTGCGATTAACGGTCTCGCTTACACGCGCTTCGTGCCGCGGTCTGCTCTGTGCGCGCCACAATCCTGCAGTTGCTGTAAAAGCGTCTGGTTCACGCAAGGACAGAGCGAACTGATTAAATATATTTTTGGCGCCGATTAACCTTCGGTATTCCTCATAAATCCGCTACTTTATTACACCTGTGTACGGCTGTCCTCACTTCGGTGGCTTCTAATTTGCGGGATGTTAATGCATACATTTTTAAAGGACGCCGCTTACGTTCGGGAGCGCGGCATTTCACAGTTCAGCGGCTGAAACGGTGCCATTTCCCGATACAAAAGGGGAATGTCTATCAGACACGGGACTTTTCAGATGGAAATTTGGTTATATTAAAGCGTTCCTCCGAACATCGTGACTTCAGGTTGAAGATGGAGGGTTAAAGGAGAACTATGAGGTCAGGGCTTTTCACCCTTAGTTCTCCTTAGGGTAACGGGAGGACACAAACTAGCGTCCTCCCGTTACCCTAAGCTCAGTATACCGCGAGCTACAGCTCGCGGTATACTGAGACGCCACAGCCGGAGCGGATCCCGACTTAGGCCCCGTTCATATTGAGCGATTTATCGCGCGGTAATTCCCGCGATATCGCAGCAATTTACCGCGCGATATCGCTCTCCAATGCTTCTCAATGGGGCAAAGGGTCCTGCTGTCGCTGGTCGTGCGTTGCTACAGCTGGACCCTTTTTGGAGCGGATTTAGCCGCGATTCAAGCTTGCTCAACACAAGCATTTACGCGATATCGCGCAAAATGCAAATCGCGCGACAAACGCGCTATTTGCGAACCGCTCAATGTGAACGGGGCCTTAGACGTCGGGATCCGCCCAGCTGCGTGAGTGACAGCTGGCTCTGCCTATCTAGAGGCAGAGCCAGCTGTACCCGCCCCCTCCCCCATCCGTTCCGCCAGTCATCGCTATCGGAGCGGGGAGGGGGGAATCCAGCCCCTCCCCTGTCACGGCAGAGAGCCGTGACAGGATCGAGAGGTAAGCGAACGCCGGTATGTGTTCGCTCACCTCCAGTTCTACTGAGCCGACCTGTGACAGTCTCATTGTCACAGGTCGGCTAGAACTATGAGGTGAGTGAAAAGCACCCCCTCATAGTTCTCTTTTAATGCTCGGAGCCAATCAAGGCTTTGTGCATTGCTGCCAGTCTAACACTGGGACCAAGTCAATAGAGGGAAAGATGACCATTTACCAGGCTGGGGTGGGGGTCTGAGAATCCGGCTATGGCTAGGAGTTTGACAGTTTTAATGGTATGATCCACTAGGGACAAAGTGTAATTCTACAAATTAGATGATTCTGGACCCACCACACAAGCCATGCTTTGGCTACCACCAGTGACAAGCTCAAAGGGAGCTTGTCACAACAGATTGGGGGGGGGTGATTGATGGACTTCTTATACATAATACTTGCTGGCTGCATCTGGCATCAGTACTATTGTGATAGACCTGGAACAAACATAATATAAATGAATGCCAGAATTCCTTATCTCTATACTTGTCCCAAGTCAATGATTCGGGAAGACTTGAACATAATGCCTTTGCATGGTGGCCAGGCAACTAGCATCACATCATAAGGAGTAGTCAGCAATGGCTGCCTCCTAGAATCTCTCATGACAGGTCTCCTTTAAAAAAAGAAGCCTGCTGATAGGAGAGAGAGCGCAT